TTTGCAAGAAAATATTAACACTTGGCATTGAAATTTGATTTTCCTAGTACTATAACAATCATAGCTGTAAATTTCGGAGTATATATCGGGTGTTTGATCTCATGGACTTATATACGCTTTCTGTATGCATTTATAAGGCGTGAGTATCCAGTTCATAACACGTATTTATTTGTCGATAATACACACAGTGTCTTAATTTTAAATGTACAGCAATTATTGTTGGTACAGAAAAAAAAGAACCATTTGAAATCCTGCGCATGGTGGGAGACATGTGGTAGGGAAAACATAATGAGACAATTTGTTCTTAAGACAAATAATGACGTTGCATAAATCAGAATGGTCAACAACAGTAGACAGCATAAAAAACAGAATCTTCTTATTTCGGTAAGAATTAGTTCAGTGGTGTTAATGGAAATACAGATTTGTAATACTAGCTCATAATTTCCCTTACCTGAGTTAGAATTCAACTACTGTGAGCTAATGTCAATGCAATTTACAGTGAAACGCAAAGAGTTGGTGCAAATACAGTCCACTGTTCATCGTCAATATGGCTACATTCAAAATATGAATATGTTAATTTTATTTTAATGGAATATTGGCGGGCTTAGTACAATGAAAAAACAGCCAATACGAAAAATTATAACATATGCTAGCAACGTCATTCAACATTAATTCAATACTACTTAGTAATATTTGAATAATTTTCTACAGAATAACCAACTACACTACGAATATAATTTCACAGTATACATTTTAAATTTTCAGTTGCGACTCAAGAGAACACCAGTCATCTCGATTGAGAGACGTCGATACATCAAACAAGTTATAGAAAAAAGGTAAGCTTTTAATTGATAATCGTTTTAGGTATTATTCAATATAGTTACATATCGTGTACTAATTTATTAACAGATTCAAAGATATCACAAATGGCTGTGTGTTAACTTAATGCCTCATTTGCTAATTGATTATGTAGGTATTGGTCAAATAGAATCCTCTTTTACGTTAACTTTAATGTGTATTTTCAAATTCCTACCTGGCTGAATCAGGATTGGAAGCATGTTTAGTTGTATTTTAATGTCTTTTTTATATGTCTTTTTTGGCAGTAGCCGAGATATTTTACTGACCAATTATTATGGAAATTATATTTGCACGTGTGTGTATTACAACATTCAATACTGACATGTACAGCGGATTTAGACTATTATCATTGGTGTAGTGAATTATGTGAAACATTAACAACAAATGACAATTTTCCTTTGATTGTTTGCATGGTATGTGGTATCATATTTATCACAACGCTGCATGATTAATTAAGACTTGAAGAATGTTAACATGCTTGTACATCATTATGAAAACATCCTATATAACGATATTTAATATGGTTAACGATCAATCTGTATTCACTCACGTGTGCATTGCTACCATGGCGACGTCGTTTGTTTAAATATCATGCGCCTGCAGTATAATGTGATTCTCTGCAATTTCTAACCGAACATTGTCGATTATAGGGTGGTATTTTGCTTTCCTTGCTAAATTATAAAGGTTGGTTCAAAATCACATAGACTGTGAGGTGATTTGATAAACCCCGATGTTTCTCACTGTGATGTTATATTTACTAAGCCTATTGAAACAAAAAAGAAACATTAATGTTCCGGATCATGACTAATATTAATCGTAGGTCGCTGTTAAAAACTAATTATAAAAAATAAATAATTATATTTAAATATGATTGTATCAATTGGTATTTAATTTAACTCATCATTAAATTATTATTTTTTGAAATTAGAATTTCACTATTTTAAATATGGTGTACAGATATTAATTTTCATCATCTTGAACGCGTGATTTTTTTGTGGGGATGGCTTTTTGGCATTCCATGAATATTAGGTAATAATACATCTTGATGAATTATATACTGATTTTGTTACAAATGCTATATTTTTTCTAAACAGGGAAATGCTTTGTACGGGTCTGGCTTGTGCCAGTCTTTCCACGTCAAGGAAAGATGTACATGTGGGGTGTCGTAGTATAATTCGATGATGGTGAAAAACATGTTTCAATTACTTAAGAAATATGGGACCAACGGCGATGCTGATAGTTGATTCCATAATTAGTCTGCTGAATCTAAAAGCATTTTCAGTATTATTACACAACTTCAATCATTCTGACGCACCGCTAGTGCAATTTCTCCCGTGTATGACTACTCATTAGTAAATGTATGGTTAATCAGTCATTGAACATTTTTTGCATCCGTTAAAAAACATAGCCGAATCCCAAACTGCTCAGCAATATTCTAGAATGGAATAAATATTCAAATGGTTGCACAAATACAATGTAAAATAGCAACTTGTATTATTTTCAAACAAGAATAAGGATAATGAATTTGGATGTTGATTGTGAAATTTATAGTTAGTGTACCAATACAATGTTTACTTAATAAATAAAGTTTAAGTGACGAAGGAGATACATTAAACATGTAACTATAGCAATGAGAAACTTGTGTATAGCGAAGTACAATCGTATTCCATGTCTCTAGCTCGGGGAATTACTTTACTGAATAACCAAAGTATCACTACATCGAGCCGGTTGCAAAGGTTCACTCTATATACTACCGAAGGGTTACATGTGTGCTGTGTCACAATGGGCTACAATACACATTTTAAAACATATTTTTCTTTGAGTTTCGACCGAAGAGATTAGAACGCAAATTCTTGCAGAACAATTTATACAAGATAGCGTTTCACACACGTTACACTGTCTAGTATGTATATGAGTTTGTACATGTTACAGTGGTTTTATTGTGCGAGCAATGTGAATCAGCTGAACACAGTTTGATATTCAGTGATGCGAGTTACTTTTGACGTTTTTAGTACACAACTTCGAACAGAAAATCCATAAATATATGTTGTGTGTGGCATAAACAAGTCAAAAATAAGACAAGGAGACAATTGCAGGTAAACATTTAAACATGCCATGTCTTAATTTGAATAATTAAACTGATTCAGATATTCTTTAGCGCACTCAAACTGTATATACGTTAAACATATGCTCAAACAGTGACGATAGTTTGAACACTTAATAATAATAATATGATCCTCGCTGTTAAAGGGAATAATTAAGCATAATTGATCTTGATTGTTCTGGCGACCTATCACAACATGTCTTGTAGTTATACACATTGTAAGTTTTTTTATTCTTCAGAATATTGTAGATTGTACACAATGTTACGTACGAAAACGTGTTATTTCCGTGAAAAAACATGATTTAAATAAATGTTGACCGCAATCGGCAATAAAGCTTGAGACAGAACAATATGTTTGTTTTGTTAGGTATTCTTGTATTCAATCACGGTAGTAATCGCTGTTTAGAAATTGATGTTTTATGAGTTCTTAATATCGTAGCCTGTGCCATGTTTGTTGACAAAGACGAAAGATACAGAAATGATAGATTCGATGTCGTGGCGTCATAATTTTTCATTTGGTCGTGCAATTGCACGCATGAACATTACGTAATCTTTAGTAATCAGTCAATGATGAGTCAGGGAACCTAGCATTGACCTGCTGAATTAATCGTGATTCGCACTTTAAATTAGCTAACAGGAATAAAGTCAACGCTAGGACCACTGTTTTACCTCCGCCTTTATCATCTATGAGTACGCCACAGTCACCAAACCTCTCCAAAAGTTGCCTCAAAACAGCGTCTTAATGAACAAGTGGTTTCCAGCCGACAATTTTCCGATAATCAGTACCATGCATGTGAATAACTAATTTCGCCATGATGACACATATTTCTTGTGTGTTCTCATAGCACTGCTAATTAGTAAATATAATGAAGTTAATGAACAGAGTCGTCCTGTGCCATTTAGGACATTTATATACAGGTGTATTTAAATAATAACAATCTTAAAATACCCCGAAGCTATATGAATCAATACAAAATAAAAAAATGTACCCACAAATGTTCGAGCAGATCAAATGCACTGAAAATTGACAAATTCAATAATTATTTTTAAATAACTGTTTGTCTAGATTAAGTTGATACAAAGGTACTTCGTAGTCTAATTTACACATTTAATTTCATTCTAGAAAACTAACATACAAGTCTCGTGACACATAGATTTATTTATACACATTCAACTGTTGAATCTCAATATTAGCAACATCAGCGTTCAAAATACGAATAAGTTCTTTTCATGTTAATGAGGTGCTCGGAGTTGTCTACAACGATAAACCGTGAATACAAACGCTCAGTGCACAATAAGTAGTAATATATACCTAATTATATAAGTAACATATAAGCCAACTAATCATAATTTGTCACCTCCTTCGAATATTACTCACATTATACGATAAATACCCAGAGTTTATACTCAGGAAAACATCACTAACAACACTACTCGGTTAACATAAGGTAAGATTTACAAAATATTTAAAAAATTTCTTATATCACATTTCTGTTTTTTATTGCTCAAAAATTACTTATTTACAAGTTTAAAAAAATTGTGGAAAAGAACGAATCGAAAAATGTGTATCGAATTATTCGACTATATGAACAAATATATAATAATCATGAGATGGTAAGCAGTAATATTACATAGTGAATGTCAATAATAACGATACACAAACTGCTTTTTGTTCTCGTAATGCTGTCAGATAATTTGAGATCTTCCCCAATGATAGTTAAAAATTTTCTTATATCACATACCTGATGTACAATTGAGCATTTCCGTAAACACAACAATATTTGAAAACGCGACCAACCATTTTCCAGTGTTTGACAGATTAATTAATATTAAAATTATTATATCATAACTAATATTTGACGATTAAAATGTTTTCATGATTGCGTAGTTTGTCATTGTATTTTACGTGTGTGTTTCCTATTGCAAAAATCCTTGCCCCAGCCGTATAATATAAGAAGTATAGTAAACACACAGGCCATGCAATATGTGTTTTATAACACATTCTCCACGTAATGCAGCGGTGTCCCGATTTATTCACAAAACGATGTAAAGACGCTAGAAAATCTGATTGCCTCCTTCGTCTTCGGTGCATCTTTATTTTCTTCTAGTGTATCAAGTTCTTCTTCTGAACTGAAGCTAACTCGTCCAGTCTTTCGAGGCGTACCGCCGATATCAGCGACCGAACTAGCCGACGACATATTGGAAATCACACGATCAGGTGACGAGTGACGTCATCCCGGGCACTAGTTGATGTACGAGTCTCCCAGGGAACTAGTAATTTCCTTGGCGCTACTATGGTAATTTAGCCGATAACACGTGATCCTGTTTTGACCAATTACAGTACAGTATTAACGAGTGATGTGTTATTATATAATATAGTTCCCTTTACCCTTTTTAATGCCGCTCTCATATTATACATGCCATCGAGCTGTACATTATCCCACATTGGCTCGATGATTTTAACTATATACAAACCACGGCTACATGATGTTATGTAATTTCGTTTAAGAATATACAACTATACTTATTACACTAACGGCTGCTACCGCAACATATACAAGGTTTCCATAATAAGTGAAGCAGGGAATTTTAATTTATACTTTTCTACTAGATATGTGCTTACATTATTTTGGAGGGAGAATTCGTCTTTCTTTGGTTAGTACAACATGTTTGCCGTCGATATAATTCCGTCATATATATGCAGACATTCTCACTAGATTGTGTCGACTGTCAATATTTTTGTTGATAGAATACAATTTCTTATCTCTAATTCTTTTTGGCATCCGTGAATACATGCATATACGTGCTTCGATCGTTTGCTGATTTTGTCGCTCCAAGCTCTGGGACTTCCTACTCAGCATGTTTAACGAGTTTGGATACACGTAACATACCATTGATTACATTACATTGTTCAGTGGTAATCTCACGATAATTAGATTCTTATTTCTATTCGAGGAAACACTTAATAATTCACATAAATTATGGTGAATGTTACTCAAAGATGTTGAACTGGCATTCGTTTTGTTGTACTTGAATTTCAGATTATGATGCCCGATTGGTATGTTAAATATTTCCACATTGTCAGTTTTAATAATACACAATATATATAAATAAAACATTTCCCTGGCGTTGCATTCAACAATGATAAAATAGGATAGATAATCGAACTGTACAGAAAAAGGATTATGATGATCTTAGGGTATTTAAACAAAAACAAAAAACAACTTGCTTACATATCGGTACTGGAGCAAGAAAGATCTTTCAGTGCCGCATGTTACAAAATGTTTGACCCAAGCCGCGGTCGATACACATATTTGTTTATTGTTGCTTTTATCTATACAAATGTTCTATTGTATGTTGATGTTGTTTGTTTGTATTTTTCTTTAAATAACATTCATGTAATTCATTTTGCTTGCAGATTGCGTTTTTTTAGAATGACACCAATAACCAACACAACAAACAACACGTCCTCTGTACTGGCAAGTGCTGGAGAGATGTCTTTTTTGAATATTATTTTTGGATTAGTCGGCATAATCGGTTTACTTGGCAACCTACTGGTCTGCGTTGTATTTTTACGAGTGAGGCATCTACGGACACTGACCAACTACCTGATTGTCCACCAAGCTATTATCGACCTCACCAGTTCAGCGCTCACTGTCCTGGCCTACTTGGGACCACAGTTCATCTACACGTCAGATAGTATTGGTGGTGAGATCATATGTCGGTTTTGGAAGTCTGCCTATTTGTTTTGGTCCACTGCTATTGCATCAGCCTTGAACCTGACGGTCATCACACTGGAACGGTATTCAGCAATCATATATCCGCTTCACTACGTTAATATATTTACCTTCAAGAGGGTGGTTGGCATCCTTGTTGCTGAATGGCTATGTGCTTTAATTTTTAAGTCGTTCAACTTCTATGTACAGCACTTTGATCACGGAATTTGCCTCTCGAAGAAGATATGGTTTAACGCCGAGTTTGGAAGATTCGTTGGCATTGTCAATGTTACTGCCCAATTCATCATCCCATTGCTGATTATGTCTGTGGCATATACACGATGCATCATGGCTTTGAGAAAGAGATCGATCGCTGATGTACAAATGGGATCCGCAGATGCTTCATTAAAACGAGCCAGTAAAAATGTTTTGAAAATGCTGGTAGTGGTTTTCCTAGCATTCATCCTTTGCTGGGGACCAAATCAGGTCATGTTTCTTTCATTTTGTTTGGGTTTTAAACTCGACTTCGGCAGTAAGCTGTATCACGCTTCCGTCATCTTGGTATACACCAACTCATCTGTTAACCCATTTATTTACGCACTGAAATACAAACAGTTTCAAAACGGAGTACGTCTGATATTTGGCTGCAAATCAAGAAACGGGGTTGAAAACACCAGCACTGTTCAGACTTTATCCTAATTTATTCACGGTTCATTGTGAGATCTGTATATCAATTTCTGAAGTAGTGAGTGAACTGCCAAAAAAAAATCTGTAGCGTTATTTTCTAATATATATGAACAGTTTTGATGTATGCTGCCATCTATGTGTCCATGCTGAGTACTTAGGTTTTCATCGTGCGGGTCACGCCAATTAATTATAGGAAAATACGTGCATAACGGGCCCGGCTAATATCAGAGGGGAAAGTAAGTGTATTAGGGTAATATAAAAGGGTGTCTGTATAATGACTGGATATAATGTGAAGACTGACTGTATTGCAATATTAAGCTCTACTTTGTCATAGCTCTTGGCGGATTGGCACATTTCGGCAGATAAAGTGTGCATCAAAACATGGCGGCCTCCTACGTAGAGATGTGTTGTTCCCAATAATTAGTATTAACAGCGACAGTGCTAGCTTACACGGGATTTCAGTGCATGCATACAAGTACTCGTAATTAGAATGTTCAGTCTATTCAGGTTTACTTTGAAAGTTACCTGTAATGTGATGTATGATAATGGGTAATTGTTGTAATTTTCCTTCATTAAAACTAATATACATATACTCAATAATGCAATGTCTATGATACACTTGCGACAATCGTAATATACAACATTACTATACATCTGTCAGCATCGTGACGCTATAAGCAGCATGTCGTTATTTTGCTGCGCGTCGTTCGATACTCCCGTTGTACTGTCTTCGTGCATACTTTGAGGTATCCTCGTAATAACATCATATTATATTGATATTACTAATATAACCTTTAATTGATGTATGTCAAACACGAACACATTATATTTGTCCACGTGTATTATTTGTGTAAAAAACGATTATATAATTTGAGATATTTTTGAAGTACACATATTATAAAGTAACATTATAGTATTTATACGTATCTTGAAATATACATAATATAACATTTAAATCCCCAGTGTCTTTCATTTGTGTTGTAAAATAGCTGTACTGAGTTTGTCCATACATGATAAGAGTAGAAATAATGTATACAGACAAATGTATTTTAACTGTACATGCAATTTGAATTTGAATTATATTTGTTGTATTGCCGTACTTTACTATATTGTCATTGTTCATTTGTTTGTGTGTTTTTTTTATTTTTTGGCTTATTGTATATGTTACATTTCAGTTTCTTTCAATTTTAATTGCAGTTTTAAACTATAATGTTCTTAATATATTTTTATTTTTTTATTTTATGTTTCATACCTGCTTTGTTATGAATATATTGTTCATATGAAAAAATGTGTGTGAATGTGTTACATCAATGTCAGATGTGTTATTATGTGTCTTGTAAAGCATGCCATAGCCATCAAAAACGAACACTGAATAGATGACAATTAGACAATCTGTCCTCAAACCTAAATTAAAACAGCTGTTGATTAGTTGTCGGTTCTATATACATGTAACTTTAAAAACCCGGACTGGTTCTGCTCTATGTTTATTTTCCGTCGTAAATAACGTTAACTATGTACATAATAATACTTGGCTACATTGTCCCTGATTTCTTTGAGCCAGTGTGTGCTACGTTTAAATGTATACCACCGCGGACGCTGATGGCGCTTTGCTAACATCAAACGCGTTACTACTACAAATTGTAGCCTGTCGGACGAGCAAACTCTCCAGTACGACAAAAAAAAACGCATTTATGAAATAATTTGTTTTGAACTGTTGAGCACTCAATTATAGTTATGTGTATATTCTGTTATTACATTATATATGAAACAAACGGTTTCATTGGTTCGTGACTACTCGCATTTGTATTTCGGCAAACCAAAATCCTTTCTGAGTCTATATTATCTTCTACTGCGATTATAATAATGATAATGGCCATCTTGAATTTATACCCACATATGAATATAGACTATCAACAAATTTAGTTGTCTTTGAATAATTATAATTATTATATGAGGATATTATCCATGTCAAATACAATGCAGATATCTAATTAGTTTCGGATGGCTTGCTATAAACCTTGTTTCTGGTTCTAAAATATCCATAACATTACATGGATAACGGGAGCATTACATCTATGTAGTCGTGGCACAGCTTTTAAGGCGATGGAGTTTAAATTCATTGAGGTCTGTGCGCGAATGATCGAATCCTGCCGATTACGTTATATGATCGTTATTTTTTAATCAACACACAAACCACGGTTTCAAGATATAATGATATACAACTCATGACAACCGCATCTTACTATCAACCATAGAAGTATCAGGGGGAGATCTTCTCTCTGGGGTTCTCCACACGTGTCAGGGGGAATAGCGTCTCGGCTCTATATCTCGTCCCCTTGAGGTACGGGATCGGGAAAGTCACTTAAACTTTTACAGTCAAATAGACACACACTACAAAATACGTTTCAACTCTCTTCTTAGTCGATCAGTCGAGCACTCTATAAGACACAGCGCCCTGGGGGAAAAGTCTCCAAGACTAACGCAAGGCTGACCCAAGACTCTCTATAGATTGCGTCAAGACTCGCCCCAAGACTCTCCAGGACTGGACTGCGTCTGTCCTCGTGTACTCGCCAAGACCAACTAAAACAACTTTATTCATTTTCAAAACTCTAACAATTACAAAACAGTATTAAGACTCTAAGGCGTGGCCTTCACACATTCAACTAATCACACTAAGTACTGAACACGTCATATCTTTTGATTAATCGTTCACTACATTAATAATTACGAATACTAAACTGTCAGAAATAGTAGTCCGAATAGCGACGGTTATCTCGTAATTAGTTCCAAATCACTGAGCCAAGTTCCGTCCAGGACCTCGCCTGCCTAAACGATGACAGACATAACACAGCCGTTCACTCGTAATCAACTAATTAAGTCGATCAACAGATACGCAAAAATAAATTCATCATAGAAGCTTGGGGTCACCATACTCGGTAGGTGTCAAACATCCTTGAAACGAGGAGCGGAAATCCGTAAATAGAAACACTTGAAATACTCACAGATTGTTATAAAATAGCAATATGTTAGATAGACATCCTTAAATTCAACGGGTCTGTTCTCAGCCTATAACATTATAGTTACAAAATGCACATTATATTTAATAGCAATATGTCCGGATGATGCGTTTTCTATTGATTGATTGGTTGATACGTGAAGTTATTGCCCAAATGTGAGGGCGCACCTCCCCTAGGTTACTAGGCCGGGAAATAATAGGTATATGATAACAGCAATTTTAAAAACCGTATAAAAGCTTGTTATGTCATGACTAGCGCCCTATATCTTTCTGTCCTTTATCATAACCTATAGTATCATGGGAAATTTCAATAATAATCGAAGTCAATAAAACAAATTATTTGGAATACATTATTTTATCAATCGAACATTCAATATACTTGTCATATTAATATCATGTTGGTTACTTGTCGGTAGTTTTATGGGTACTAGGTTTCCCGCTCCAATAGTTCGGCTTGCACAGCGCCCTCGCAAATCACCTTATGTTCTACTATCATGCAGTTAGAATGATTTCAATCTAGAGTTATAATTAAAACAGTAGTTACAATTCAATTCGCAAAATAGAACTGCTCACTTTAGGAAGATAATTTTATGTGCCCCGGGCTGTTAGTTGAACTCAATAAATAGATCAGATTGTAGCAATGTGTACAATAATTATGCACCGAGACACAAGTCAGAATTTAGTTAAACATAACTATAATTTAATATATCCGCTGAAAATGAATGTTGTAATCGGTGGGAAATATTCCTATCGCTAAACCGACAAATATGGCCAGACGTAGTCATTCTTTCAATTACGCGGGTCATTTTTCGGGTTCAAGTAGAACAATAATTTAAAATACTCAATATTTGGGAAAATATTGAACTTCACAATCGTTGTAGCTAAAAAGTATAATAATAATAATAATTTTCAAAGTTATTTGGTGTTCTGGTGTATTGGATTGGTGTATGGATTATTGAATACCAAGAATGCTAGCATGGACTGTTTTATGGTAACAGCAGAGATTTTAGATGTCCACAAAGTTAACTGAGCCCAATAGTGATTTTCAGAAAGTTGTGGCCTGTTCTTTTAGAACTATTAGTACAAGGACTCCATTGCCTAATACTATCATAGTTTATTGCTCAACATATACTTTCAAGATTATGTTCCTGGTGGCGCCGTAGTGTCAACCATCGGGACTTGTCGAGAAGAAATACAACTAAGAATAAGACGGTCTCGTTCATGAAAATACGTAGTAAAATTAGGGTCATTTTTACTTCTCTGTGAATTACAGAATTAAAGTTACTTTGAAAAACGGGTAATTAATATTATTAAATGAAAAAAATAGAACGGAAGAAACTAAAATTGCGTGACGTAATAGCTATTGATACAAATGGTATTACGTTTAAGGGCACAGCATCGGTGCTAAGAGCTATAATTGTCAAGTGTTGTCATCATCTTCAAAATCAAAACCATGACCTTTTAGTCAGGCCTTAGGCCAGGCCTTGAGATTGTACACATTGCAACTTACTCGGAACGCTGTTAGAATGTATGGTAAATGCGCCACCATCTATTCATCACATACAAACTTCACTATTCTCTTTATCACTCAGTGGATTATTTGATTTAAGAAAAATAGAAACTAAAACATCAAACTACAAACTACAGACTGATTGGTATTACAGATCGATTGGTATTACTTCTGATATTTCATCATAGGGCAAAATCTTTGACGAATGCATATCGTAACTTTTCGACGTCTTTGGCAAATAACGGAATCTGTACTATCATTGTCTGTACTAGATTATATTAAAAAGTTTACTTCTAAAATCCTTTTTGATAATCAGTCTAATCCCAACAAATCTTATAAATATACACAAACGATCTTTTCATTACAATATTTTACAAAATCCAGCTGCTTGTGACAGCATTGCTCATAATTACTATTCAACTATACTCATATTAGTTACGGTATTACTGGTGATCTGGATAATATTCAACACAATTAATGAAATAT